TTTATCCAAAAGCATCAGTTCTGACGTGTGTTTATGGGAGATAATTTACCGCATAACCCTCATTAACATAAATGAGCTATAATTAATCTTGACATTTCAACGAACCCTGGTACACATTGGGTAGCATACAAGAAGATAAACAACAACATAGAGTACTTTGATTCATATGGTTGCTTGAGCCACCGCGAGAACTAGTATAATATTTGAACGGTGGAAGAATTTCCTACAATAACGATCAATATCAAAGTTATAACCAAATAAACTGTGGAAATTTGTGCTTAAAGTTTCTCTACAATGCAACCATCTAAGGAAATCTTGAGACGTGCCATTTACATTTTTATGGAAAATATAACGAGCGGTGTTTGGTATGAACTACCCCAAGATATTCGTTACGCGCTAGAAGAGTATTTACCTTGCAAAAAAGATTATGATAAACATGAATGGGGTGATGTTTGTGGCATGTATATGGAAACTAAATGTGTATTTTTTAAAGTGCTATGTTTTAAGAAAAATTAAACAAAAACAGTATAATACAAATAAAGAATATTTTTAACATATGTTATTATTTAACTTACTACATCTTTTATCATATATCAGTCATGTCTCGATTGTTGACCCTGACAAGTACTACAAACGAGTTTTCGTTTAATCCTTAAGTGCCTCTTGTGCTTCATCCGTTGTGACAGTGTTATGTAGCAGTGTTGGGATTTCATACATTTAATTCATTTCCGAACATCGATGTTGAAAAGTTTTATTTCTACGAGCAAAATGATCGTACAAAGCTGCGTAATATTAAAATTCCATCCAGATGTTATGAAATTACTTATATCGAAGCGTAAATTCGAAATGAATTAATGCGTAAATACAATTCGGTTCGGGAGTTTACTTTAAGACCGCACAACAATACGCTTAAATGTGAAATTTTCTGTCAGGATCACACCATTATTTTCGATAAAGACAATACTCTTGAAAAATTACTGGGATTCTCCTCAAATAGAGTGTTGACACCAGGAAAAATGCATTCTTCAGATCAACCTTATAAAAGTATCGAGTCTACTTTTTGAATACATTACCGAGGACTTCTACGAGGACAGACGTGCGCACACCATTCTATATTTTCTGTTGAAGTTCAAGTGTTGATCCTGGTTTTTCTGTAGACGAACGTCCCCATAATCCTATATACATACCAGTAAGCAACAGCATACGTGAAATTACCAAAATTACCGTTAGTGTAGTCGATTAAGAATTAAGACCAGTCAATTTTAGAGGGGAGAAAAGTACGTTGCATTTGGATTTTAAGGAAACAATATAGATGGGTTTAATTATAAAACAAAACTCTATCCATCAATATCCATTAGTCTCATACGAATTGTACAAGCTACGTGACGTATTTGCTGTCAATAAAGCATTTCTTATTTTCATTGGATTAAAGTTGAAGGATGTCAAAACGTCAATATATTCGACGACAGGTTCAGAACCTCAACCACCTATTTTCGATATTTACCTAAAACCTATATTCGACGATACTATTAAAAAGAAGAATTTCGGACATATACACCTTATATCAATCATCTCATGTTTAATTAAATATTTATCAAAATAATAATTCGAAACAAGAGATAAAATAGATTGGGACAAACAAGATCCATAGTGTAGAGAGCAATGAAGAATAGACAGGTTTGGAAACACGAGGAGGTCTATGTTTAGAAGTGGACTTTTGAGGTTGGATCATAAACCGTCTGATTTATTTATTACTGGTATAAATCTAAGGTCGACGAAGCTTGAATAAAACTAATAACTTGGGAAAACCAGAGGTAATTATAGGCGGTTGAAGCGTAGCACTGACCCTGTTACCTTCCTTGTATACCCTAGACCAGTGGTTCTCAACCGGTGTTCCGCGAATTCCTTCCAAGTGTTCCGCGAAATACTCGCAATCCTACATACCATTTTGCTAAATTACTCTTTTCAAATAAATATTTTCACCTATTTGGCTATATGGCTATATTGGCTATTTGGCTATATGGCTATTTTAAAATAGCCACTTACGTACATTTTAATTTAATAAAATTCTGCAGCGTAAATGTTCATTTGCCCAACGTGACAACACCGCGTCGGCACAGTGCACACGTTGAATTTTATAAGCGCTGAGCTCCGCAGTGCCCACAGCCAATCTGAGTCACCCACGCCACAGTCTGCAACTGAATGTTGAATTTGTTACATTGCACAAACGTAATACGTGAAAATCGCTGTGTCAGTTTTTTTATGATAACGTTTACGTACGGCTTATCTATCAAAGGTAAGTAATTGCATATTTTATACAAAACGTGAAGCATTCATCCGCATTATTTTATTTAGAGACGAATAAATTAAAATGGATAAGTTCCTCAAACTTAAAAGAAAAACTACTGTGGAACAACTGATAATTAATGATGATGAAGCGAGCACCAGCGGAGATACTGGAACTTTACGAAGTGGGGTTGATTACAAATCGAAGCGCAGCAAAAACATGTTGAACCGGCAATATTTGGATGAATATTTGGATTATGGCTTCATTTCGACTGGGGAAGAAGACTGTCCAATTCCCAAGTGTATTGTTTGTGGGCAGACACTCGCTAATAGCGCAATGGCTCCGGCTAAATTAAAACGCCATTTTACTACCAAACACGCTAGTGTAGCTTCAAAAAATAAAGATTATTTCAAGCGACTTTTGGAGACACAAGCTAAATAAGCGAAAACAATTTCCGACAAAGCACAAATAGCTTCATATAAGGTCGCCGAATTAATTGCTTTGAAACAGAAACCACACACTGTTGAAGAATCTCTTATATTACCAGCATGTTTTGAGATGGTCAAAATTATGTTTGGCAACGATGCACAAAACGAAATACGGAAAATTCCTATGTCGGATGATACAATAAGAATGTTGATTTATCTGCAGATATTGAGGAAAAAGTTACAAATAAACTTTACAAAAAAAACTTCGCATTGCAGGTGGACGAATCCACTGATATTAGTGGCAAAGCTCATTTATTAGGATTTATTCGATTTGTCGACGAAGGTGAAATAGTCAATCAGTTTTTATGCTGCAGAGAACTTACAGCACGTACAACAGGTCAGGATGTATTTGATTCCATAACGTCATATTTAGAGAAAAAAAATATATCATGGGACTTTTGCGTAGGAATTTGTACGGATGGTGCCCCTTCCATGGTAGGCTCCATAAAAGGTTTTTTTACCCTTGCAGAAAAGCGAAATGAAAATATCATATCTACGCACTGTTTCTTGCATAGAGAATCTCTAATTTCAAAAACGCTACCAGCTACTTTGAAATCTGTATTAGACCAAGTGATGTCGTGAATTACATCAAATCAAGACCACTAAAAACCCGTCTTTTTAAACAACTCTGCATCTCAATGGAATCAAAGTATGAATGTTTGTTGCTGCACACCGAAGTTAGATGGTTGTCAAGGGGCAAAGTATTATGTCGAATTTATGAACTTAGAACGGAGCTGTTAACTTTTTTCCAAGAAGAAGGTAATGACACATTTACCACATATTTTGAGAATGATGCATGGTGCACTAAAGTGGCATATTTGGCCGATATATTTAATTATTTAAATGACGTTAACTCAAGTATGCAAGGCAAAAATGAAAATATTTTAACATCCACGGACAAACTGTCAGCTTTCCAGAAAAAATTGTCATTTTGGAAGAAGCGCATTTTAGAGACAAATAAAATGGATATGTTTCCATTGCTTCAGAATGAAGGTGATGAAGATCAAGAACAAGAAATCACGCATATAGTTACAGAACACTTATCACTATTAGAGGAGACAATTGCCAGGTATTTTCCATCTCTGAACGTAGAAAAATACAGCCTACTGTACTAGTAGTGATCGTGCCGCGAATAGTGAACAGTGTAGTAGTGTCTGGGGGCTCGGGAGACTGAGACCTCGGAAGCCCTGAGGAAGACATCAGAGAGGATGCCGAAAGCTTGGCAAAATGGATTACGACGCGGTTCAACCCGGAAGACTGGTGAGTTTAATATTAATTTTAGTAATAATATTAATCTTAGCTCTAGGTTTTATTGTACTAACCGCGGAAATCTTTCCGAACATATATATATATATATATATATATATATATATATATATATATATATATATATATATATATATATATATATATATATATATATATATACATATAAACCGTCTAGTTGAAATCTATCAGCTGCATAGTGGACCAGTCCACATTGTTCCATTGGTTCCTAGATGGCTGCACTACAGTAGTTTTGGAACTCCATATTTGATAGGATCTTAGTCCACTGTGCCGCTGACAGTTATATGTTTATCTATCATTCTTGATTGATATTTTCGGATCTTTTTGTGAATTATTGTGACTTTTAATTATTGTGAAATATATTTATTCTATTGATATGGATTTCGATGAAGATGCTACAAGTAGAGGTATGTAGGTATATTTTATAAATAAAAATAAAAAAAGTATGAAAGGAAGAAATATTGTTTCTAGGTTATGATTTTATTTTATTTTGCTTAGATAGTTTTTGCTTTCAAATAATTTAGTTTTTTTTTATTTTAATTTGCTTTTAATAAATTTAGTTGCTATTCTTAAAAATTTGTTGTAAGTAGAGGTCAGGTAGGTATATTTTGTAAAGATAAATAAAAAAAGTACGAAAGTAAAACACGTTGTCTCTAGGTTATGATTTAATTATGTTTTTTGGAATAGTTTGCTTTTAAATAATACTATTTAGTTGTTATTCTTAAAAATTAGATTAAAAAATTTCTCTATGATTCTAATTTGTGCGTTTTGTTGCAGGTGGCTCAGCCTCAGAATTAGATCCATATGTGGATTCTGGATCGGAGTACTTGCCTTCGGATGGAGATTTGGCGGAAACTAATAGGAACGTGGAAAAAGGCAACGATACAAAAGCAGATATCATTATAACAAGCAGATAATAGATAGCATATCTAATATAGCGGAACCAACGACATCTAGTAAGCCTAAAAAGCGTGTCCGCAATCCTGAAAAATGGAAGAGAAACATAACCAAAAGAAAAAAGTGTGCTGGACAAGAGTATGAGACTAAATCGGGTAAAATTGTACATTCCAAATCTTTGAAACCATTTGAATGTAAATGTAAAGGAAGGTGTTCATTTTTGATTCCAGCAGAAAGGCAAATGGAACTGCATAACAATTTCTATACTTTAGAATCCTTCGACTTGCAAACTGCATATTTATTTGCTCTGATTAAAGTCGTTAATAAATTGCGTAGCTGCACTCTGAACAAGGAATCTAAGAGGAAAAAAACCAGACTTTACTTTTTACCCAGTCAGGAAGGTGTGGAGCATAAGGTGTGCAAACCATTTTTTCAAGCGGTATTTCAAGTTTCTGCCGGTAGATTAGACATACTGCTCAAACGTAAATCCATAGGAACACCACCACCTTGTGATAAACGTGGCAAACATCCACCGCACAATAAAACATCTGACGCAAAGAAAATGGAACTAAAGGAGTTCATTGAAAAATTTCCATGGTACGAATCACATTATGGGCGGGAAAAAAGCAACCATAGGAAATACTTGTCTCCGGATTTGAGTCTCGGTAAAATGTATGAGTTATATAAAGGTGAAACACAGAATCCCCTATCCTATTTTATTTTCCGAGAAACGTTCAACAAGGAATATAATTTACACTTTCATCCACCAATTACTGACTCTTGTAAGAAGTGTGATTTATTTGAAGTTAAAATAAAGGCAGCCACTAGTGAATCAAGTAAAAATCTCGAAACTGAAAAAAAAATTAATCAAAACAAGGCGAAGAGTGCTAGAGATTCTTTAAAAAGAGACACCGAAATGGCAAAAAATAGAAACGCATCAGTTATCTGTTTGGATATAATGAAGACCTACACCTGTGCTTACCGCAGGAATTTGTTACTACAAGCGGCAATTATGGACCTACTGCTTCAATGTTCATGAAATGGGAACCAACAACTCATTTATGTTTGTGTGAGATGAAACCGTCGCTTCTCGGGGTCCTCAAAAAGTAGGATCCTGCATCTTATTTTACATAAAAAATTTCGTAAAATCGAAACGACTTATTATGTATTTTGACCAATGTGGCGGTCAGAATCGTAATATTAAAATGTCATTACTATGCAATTATATAACTGCATCTCCAGATTATACCGTGGAAGAAATAGACCACAAGTTTCTGGTAAGTGGCCATTCTTACTTACCGTCTGACCAAGATTTTGGTATAATCGAAAAAGAAAAGAAATTCCACCCGCATGTATTTATACCTCAAGACTGGCATACAGTGATAAAGCACGCTAGAAAGAAAAATCCATTCACAGTAATAAACATGGACAAAACAAATTTTTTTTCTACGAAATTGCTTGAAAATAATACAACCAACAGGAAAGTTTCCGAATCAAAAACCAAGGTAGAGTGGCTTAAAATTAAATGGTTATGGTTTAGGAAAGACTTTCCCAATACTATCCAATATAAGTATTCGAACAATGAAGATGTGTATTTTGAAACAGTGGATCTTAATAAAAGGAAATCTGTTTCCAAGAATACAATGGAATTGCCACTTCTGTATCCAAATGGTAATACCATTAACGAAGCTAAAAAAAAAGATCTTCTTCAGTTAATGGAATTGATACCCCCTATACACCATGAATTTTATAAAAACCTGAGATCTTCAGCGCAAGCAGCCGGAAGTGAAGTAATTGGCCCATTTGACGACGACGAAGATTAGACATTCTAACTTCTGATGTTTTTTTAAACATTCTGTGGTAATAAAGTCTTTGATGTAATATTGAGTGTATTATTTTGTGGGATAACCCATTCACTAACTAAAAATATTTTAAATGCAAAGTGGACCAACCCACATTAAAAGATCGAATATAGGTATTTATCCAAAATTTATTATCAAATTTATTAAACAAGTAATATATATATATATATATATATATATATATATATATATATATATATATATATACATATATATCGATACCTTAATTCGCAAACCGGCCAACTCCACGTTTCATCAAAAATAGTTTTTCGACGCAGTTGGTTTACAATTATAATTCCGCATGATTTGCAAAAACAACAACTCCAATACAATCACTAGTTTCTGTGTAAATCGGTATTCGAAAACCAGCCATCTCCGTTTTCTTCGGAACGTTATGATTTTGACAGCTAACTCCCCTAAGTCGATCATTTTATTCGGCGTTTCAACTACGTACAGGTATCGTTCCACAATTTATGACAGAAAAATTGTTAAAACACAACATAAGGAAAGAAATAGTGACAAACAGTTGGATAATAATACAAGGTATGAATATTTATTTATTTATTTATTAGATATAATTGCTTACCTCCCGTTTTTAAAGATTTAATATTCGCTAGGAGTTGGCTGGTTTGCTTTCTTCGTTTTCACACTAGTGATGGGAGTAATCCAATGTTATGTTTTGTTTTAAGCTGTCGTAAACGATTTAAAAATAATTTTTTGCTTAAAGATTTTTGTTACATTCATAAAAAAGTACAACCATTAGGAGAGAGCAGGTAAAATACATATAATTAATCATTTTTACCTCAAAAATGATATCCTTATACCAATAATAAATAATGTATTGCACTTTTTTAATCTTTATTTTTGATACTTATTTTCTTAATTTGCTCATTCTTGTATTTATTATTGAATTTATGGTGTGGTGATGGCTTTTTTTGATTTTTTTAGATGCTGAAAACACGCACTCAAAAAATATTGCAAATGAGTACTCAAAATAAACAGGAGCGAGATTTAACTAACACTACCACAGAGTCTTTATTGTCACAAAACTCCTATAATTTGGATAGCATGACCAAGCATGATAGCTTAGCTTCTCAATCTGCTTCCTCCATTTTTTTTGCCAATAGCGACATAGATTGTACTGACAACGAACAGCCTCGTATAGAAAAGATGTTTAACGCTGAATACTTCAACGACAGTATTATGTTTGATAGTCAAAGTTGTGTCCATAATAATATGCAGACAGTTAATAATGTTATACTTGAAGAGGTTTACTCACTCAATGAAAATTACAGTCAATCATTATTTGACACGAACACCGAAAATGCGGTTAATCCTATTGAACCAATTACATGCAGCATTAACCAAAATGATACCTTATTAGTATTGAATAGTGATTTAGTCATTGATATGCAAGAAGAAGAGCTAACGGCTCCTGCATCTATACCTAAAATCCCAACTGCCTATCCTGAATTAATGAAAAAACTAGTTGATTACAGTGAATCTGATTCTGAATATGACGAACCTGTTATCAAAAGAAAGAAACGGTGTCAAGTAAAGAAAGACCAATGGGTTAGTCAAAGGAATAAAAAGAATAGGGAAACGGGTAAAGAATACTGCGGAAAGCAAAAAATTGATGGAAAGTGGAGAAAAGATATAAAGAAACCAAAAAAAATTATGAAGCCTCGATGTAATTGTAAAGAAAAAAAGAATAGTGTTATCCAGTGCAATATTATATCTGAAAATGATCGAAAAACATTATTTGATCAGTTCTGGACTTTTACTTGGAACGAAAAACGACTTTACATCGATAATTTAGTAAAAGTTATTCATACAAATAGACAAAGGGATAGGAAAGATCCAGAAAAATCTAAGAGAGTTAATACTTTTATTTACCATCTAAAAAAGGCGAAGCTATGATCCGAGTCTGTAAAACGTTATTCCTAAACACTTTTTCCATCGGTAAATCATGTATTTGGGGTTGGAAGGTTCAAACTACAGGAAAGAATACCAGTGAACCATTAAAAACAAATATTACAAGAAATCCATTTGATGAAGAAATTAAAACTTTGCAGGACTTTTTAGATGGTTTACCCAAAATGCCGTCCCATTATTGTAGAAAAAGGACAACACAGACATATATATACATATCAGACATTTCATCCAAGCAACAGCTTTACAAAATGTACACAGATTATTGTGAGTCAAAAAACAAAAAAACGTTATCTATTGCTACTTTTACAAACACTCTTACAATACGAAAAATATCTCTCTTTAAACCAAAGAAAGACTTATGCGAAATTTGTAATGGATACACGTTGGGTCATATTGGAAAAGAAATTTATGAAGAGCACATAAGTAAAAAAAATGAAGCAAGAATGGAGAAGGAATCTGATAAAGAAAAGAAAGAATTTGTCTTTACCGCCGATCTTCAAGCTGTACTTTTGGCGCCACGCTCCAGCGTGTCATCTAATTATTATAAGACCAAACTCTGCGTTCACAACTGGTGCATTTATGACATGAAGCATAGTGATGGATATTGCTTTCTGTGGAATGAGGCTGAAGGAGGATTGAATTCTGATGATTTTGCTACGATTTTGGTGAACTTTCTTATGGACAAAGTAATTCTAAAAATGGGAGAAGACAACAGGCACATAATCATGTATACTGATGGCTGTTGTTATCAGAACCGAAACGTTACTTTAAGCAACGCTCTCGTTAACTTAGCTTTGCTACACAATTTGACTATTGAACAAAAATATTTGGAAGTGGGCTACACACAAATGGAGGTCGATAGCATGCACGCAATGATAGAGAAAAAACTTAAAAATCAAATAATTAATGTTCCAGCTGAGTACATTACCATTTGCAGGAAAGCGAAGAAATCAAAACCTTACACAGTTGAATACTTAAACTATTCCTACTTTAAGAATTTTAAACAGCTAAATTTTTACAACTCCATAAGACCAGGAAAACTGAAGGGAGATCCTAAGGTATTGCTATTTAGTAAATCGTAATCATTATTTTTGATTATATTGGATCGGTGTTTTTTTATCTTTATTTTTCAGGTTACCGAAATTCGAGCTCTCATGTATACACCCTCTGGACAAATATTTTATAAGCTTAGATTTTCTGAGGACTATAAATTACTCAATCAACGCAAAAATTCCAGAATAAATACAATACCGTTTCAAGATTTGTCAAATTTGTACCCTGAACGCAGAAAAATTACAAGAAAGAAATATTTGGATTTACAGCAACTAAAGAACTCGATGCCGAGAGATTACCATAAGTTTTATGACGACCTTCCTCATCAAGACTAGAAATAATACGTTATAAATCATAATATAGGTATAATTCCGTTTGTTTTGTTTTAAATTATACCTATTTTATAATCACCAATGGATTTTTATTTGAATTAATCTCTGGTGCATACCAGCTAACTCCAACAGTACGTATCTTTCCTGTGAAAGAAAATTGGATAACTGCTTAAAATACCCTAGAAGCGTTGCAAGGATCATTCTAAACGATTATGTACTAGCAAAAATAATAGGTAATAATATTATCTACCAACTGGATTGTAATTTTTGTCGTCAGTAGCTTATAAAAAATATTATAATGTTTTATGTCTCTCCTGAAAAATTTGTTCAAATGGAGTTGGCCGGTTTGCGAATTAAGGTATCGATATAGATATAGATATAGATAGATATATATATATATATATATTATATATATATATATATATATATATATATATATATATATTAATATATATATATATATATATATATATGTTACGGACAATAACGTTATTGGCCGGTCAATAACGACAATGGCCTGTTGAATTGGTCATTGTCGACTATGGCCGGATATTAACGTTATTGTCCGTAGAAACTGGACATTGATGATCATTTTAAATGCATTATACCATTTCTATCATTGTCCGGCCAATGTCGACACTGCCCGTTGTTAATCGGTTAATGTTGAAATTTTGAGTAAAAGCTAGGTTATGTGTATTGTTTACTTCATTTCTGTTCTCGTGCTGAAATTAGGTACTCGTCTACTCGTAGTAACTTTAAGTAAAAAGTGTTATCATGGATATCAACGATGTACGTATTCGTTTTAATAATCATATAAACTCAATAGCTAGGTCAAAACGTGTCGACAATAAATCATT